CTGTGGAATTAACTATCGCAAAATGAGGTGAATACTGGGACATTGAATAAATTTAAGGAGGTAATTTAATGAGTAATTAACAACGGGTTGGGGGGGTATGGGCTGCAAGCAGGAAAGTGCAGTTGGAGCGGGATGAGATCAGCCACAATTTTATTAAATGGCTGAATTGCTATTCCTGCTGCTAATTCTTTCGTTCTTAGATTATGGCAGGATATAGACGGGCTGATCAGTAGCAATTGGATTTCAATCCAGGTAAGTGTGAGGCAATGCACACAGGCAGGGCAAACGAGTGAATGGAGTACATGACGAACAATGTAGGACTGAGGATCAGAGGGACCTTGCTGTGCTTGTCCATCTGTCCCTTAAGGTAAGAGGACAGCTAGCTAAAGGGGTTAAAAACCAAATGAAACACTTGCCTTTATTAGTCGAGGCATAGAGTTTAGGAGCAAGGAGCTTATGCTGGAACTGCATATACAGTTGCTGAGGCCCCAGCTAGAGTGTTGTGTGCAGTTCTGGAATCAACAGAATAGGAGGGATGTGATTTCACTGGACACAGCACAGAGGAGATTTACCAGAATGCTGTCTGGGATGGAGAGTTTTAGTTATGAAGAAAGGTTGGATGGACTGGGTTTTGTTTTCTCTGGAGCAGAGGAGATTGAGAGGGGCAGGGTTGAGATGTATAACTTAGGACAGGCATGGTGGATTTCAAACCTGGATTCCCTGAATTTCTGAATTAATACCATTAAACCAAGGCATTCCCGAGAGGTTTATTTTATTCCCTATGTCTTGATCCTGCTCAAAGGCCTATACACAGCTCCCATCATGGTCTTTTCTTCCTTTGCAGTTCTTCAACTCGATCCATGCAGATTCTACGCCTTCTGACATTATATCACTTTTTGCTCATAGTGTAATTTAATTTCTTATGGACAAAGCAACATTACCCTCCTTGCCCATCTGCCCATCCATTTGATAGGATGGTTATTCTTGGATGCTCAGTTCCCTGCCCTGAGCCACTTGCAGCCAAAATGAGTGTTAGGACCCCAGCTATTCACCAAATATGTTAATGATTTAGATGAGGGGAACTAAATGTAATATCTCCTCATTTGCAGATGACACAAAGCTGTATGGGAGGGGGAGCTGTGAGGAGGATACAGAGTTGCTTCAGTGTGATTTGGACAAGTTGAGTGAGTGGGCAAGTGCATGGCATGTGCAGTTTCATGTCGGTAAATGTGAGTTTTAGTCTCTTTATTTGAGGAAGGAGATTCTTGCAATAGAGGGGCTGCAGTGAAGCTTTACTGGGCTGGTTCCTGGAAGGCAGAACTGATGTCTGAAAGGTAGAATTGGTGAGGGTTGTATTCACTGGAGCTCAGAAGAATGAGGGGGTATCTCACAGAAACATAAAATCCAAACAGGACTAGACAAGGTCGACACAGAAAGGTTGTTCCCGATGTTAAAGGCTTTCTAGAAATCCAAAAGGTTCATGTCCACTGGATCTCCTTTGTCTAGCTTGGTCATTACCTCCTCAAAGAATTCTAACAGATTTGTCAGGCATGACATCTCTTTGACGCAGCTGTGCCGACTCCGCACTATTTTACCATGCACTTCCAAGTATTCCGCAATCTCATTCTTAATAATGATCTCTAAAATCTTACCAACGACTGAGGTCAGGCTCTCCCACTCTTCTTAAACAAGGGTGTTAGATTAGTTACTTTCCAGTCCTCTGGGATCCTCCCTGACTCCAGTGATTCCTGATAGATCACCACCAATACGTCTACAATTTTCTCAGCCATCTCCTTCTGAACTCCAGGGTGTAGTCTGTCCGGTCTGGGTGATTTATCCACCTTCAGACTTTTCAACTTCGCCAGCACTTCCTCCTTGGTGATAGCCACAACCCTCACCTCTGCCCCCAACCCTCTTGAAGTTCTGGTATTGTTGCTGATGGTCTTCTACTGTGAAAACTGATGCAAAGTACCTATTCAGTTCCTCCACCATTTCTTTGTTAGTACTTCTCCAGCCTCATTTTCTACTCTTGTCTCTCTTTTACCTTTTAGGTATCTTAAAAAAAAACCCTTGCAGTCTTCTTTTATATTACTAGATAGGTTGCTCTCATATTTCATCTTCTGTCCCCTTATTGTTCTTTTTGTGATCCTCTGGCTTTTAAAGGCTTCCCAATCCTCTGTTGGTGGCACAGTGACTCAGTGGTTGTCACTGCTTCTTCTCAGTGCCAGGGACCTGGGTTTGATACTACCCTCGGCCAACTGTCTATTGGAGTTTGCACATTCTCTGTTTGCATAGCTTTCCTCCCACAATCCAAAGATGTGCTGGTTAGGTGGATTGACCATGTTAAATTGCCCATCGTGTCCAGGGATGTGCAGGGTTGCTGAATTAGCCATGAGAAATTAAGGGTTACAGTGATAGGGGAGGGGTCTGGGTCTTGGTGGGATGCGCTTTGGAGGATCAGTGTGGAATCGATGGGCTGAATGACCTGTTTCCATACTGCAGGGATTCTATGATTCTGGCTTCCCACTAATCTTCACCACATTGAATGCTTTTTCTTTTGCTTTTATGCTGTCCCTGACTTCCTTTGACTGCCATGGTTGTCTCATCCTGACCTTAATTTTTTTTTTTTTTAAATCCTTGGCTGAACATCTGCTGTGCTTCCTCATTACCCCCAAAAACCTCTGCCATTGCTGCTTCACTGCCTTCCCTGCTATAGGTCCCTTCTAACCAACTCTGGCCTGCTTCTCTGTCGTGTCTTTATAGTTAACTTTGCTCAATTATAATGGCATTACATCTGATTCAGTCTTCTCCCTTTCAAACTGGAAAAAAAAGTCTATCAAATTCCCTCAATATCCTGTCTTTCACCTTGAAATGATGTCCTATTGACCCTTCAACTAAAGGGAACAGATGCTTCCCATCTGCCCTGTCCATGCCCCTCATAATCTTATAGGAACAGGAGTAGGCCATTCAGTCCCTCGAGCCTGTTCCACCATTCAGTGCTGATCTGTCACCTAACACTGGAAAAGTGCCTTTAGCCCATAGAATTGAGCTACAGCGAGTCGTAGAGTCATACAACATAGAAACAGGCCCTTCGGTCCCCCATGTCTGTGTCAACCAACAAACACCAAGCCACACTAATCCCTTTTGCCTGCATTTAGTTCAGAGACTATTATGCTCTGGCATTTTAAATGTTCATCCAGATGCTGTTTAAATATTGCGGATGTACCTGCCTCCACCACCCTCTAAGCCAGCACATTCCATATTTCTACCATCCTCTGGTCATTCAGAACAATCAGAATTGATGATGAGGAAGCAATGTAGAGAGGAGTTAGATTTTACTGAATCCAGGAAAATGAGGGAAAACCTAAATTGCATATGGATGGTAACTCTCAGATTTCCATTCTGGTGCTGCAAGAGGACTGAAGAATTGCAAACATTCAGCATGTTCAAAAAGCCAAAGTAGGACAGTAGCTTAACTTCTAAATTCTAGAGGGAACAAAGCCATCCGCCAAAGGAAGCAAGCCAATTAGATTGGAAATATCAAAAATGACCAGAATAGGAAGCTGTGAATGGATATTAATTTCTGTGGAAGTGCCTGGAGCTTTTGAGAATTTTTGAGAGGATTGTGGTAATACTTGTGATTCAATTGTGGTAATGCCTGTGATTCCTCCTTTTGGGAAGCATATAAGTTCCGTTTAGTTAAAGGGTCAATAGGACATTGTTTCAAGGGGAAAGACAGGAAATTGAGGAAATTTGATCATTTTTTTTCACCCAGACAGTGGTGGGATGCACCATGTGGGAAGGTAACTGAAGCAGGAAATTTCACAACCTTTAAGAAAAAGGATGATCACTTGAAACATCATATTGTCCAATTGTTACTCAGGGAATTAAGAACTGAACCTGAATGTATAGGATGCTCAGTAATGAAGTCTATGGATCTGTTAAGTGTGCTTGTTATTCTTTATCAATTCATTTCCTTCCAATAAAGATTTTCATTTTGTTAATAATGTGAAATCTTGTACCGCAGTTCTTAATGTTAAACCAGGGTTTGGGAATTTCTATTTAAACATTAACAGTCCCCACGTAGAGTGTAAAATAAAGCCCAAATTTCTTTGCAAAATCAATATTTCGACAACAGTTTGCTCTTCCTGTACGAGTATGTGCTTTTCCTAAGCTTCACGATGTACGAAAGCAGGACTGAGAGATAGTAACTTGCTTCAAGCTGTCTCCTGACAAACAAACGTGTGGTGTACTCGCTTGTGAGGGTATTAATCACTCATTAACTTAACAATACAGCAACTCAGGCAGGAGGATTAGAGGGGATGTGAGGAAAATTTTTTTCACCCACAGGGTGATGGAGAATTTGGAACTCAAAATCTGTAAGGGTGGGAGAGGCAGAAACTTTCATCACATTGAAGAAGGATTTAGATGGAAAACTTGATGCTAGAGACAAAGTGGTGGGAACATGGGATTAGAATATTTAAAGGGTTGTTTTTGACCAGCGTGGACGTGATGGGCCAAAGGGTCTTTTTCTGTGTTGTAGACCTCACTGACTCCAAATGGGTTTTTATTCAAAGCCACAGACTCTGTGGGGCCATTAGTTTATTGTTGAATTGAATTTATTGCAAACAAGTCAAAGGCCAGCTTTTAAAATATTCTGTCACAAAGCATCTCTCTCCCTCTCTCTGCCTCACAGTGCCAGGGACCCGGGTTCGATTCCACTCTCGGGCGACTGCTTGTGTGGAGTTTGTACATTCTCCCTGTGTCTGCGTGTGTTTCCTCCAGGTGCTCCGGTTTACTCCCACAGTCCAAAGATAGGTAGGGTAGGTGGATTGGCCATGCTGAATTGCCCATAGTGTTCAGGGTTGTGTAGATTAGGTGGGTTACAGGGGGATGGGTCTGGGTGGGATGCTTTGAGTGTTGGTATGGACTTTTTGGGTCGAAGGGCCTGTTTCCACGCTGTAGGGATTCCATGATCTATGAAATATCATGTGGACTGAATAGATGCATTTAAGGCATGCCAATAACACAAGGGTAATCAATGGAATGATGCACTGATAATCCTTGCAGTTCGAGACTGGGAGGGGATCAGTGGTGATCAACAATGCAAGGTCAATTTTGGCTTCGAGAGACTAATTACAAGCTGTTAATTATACGCATTTGTTTGGAACTCTTCTCAAAACATCTGGTTTTGTCTGTTTCAAATCACCATCGTCCATCCGCAGTTCTTTGTTTTATGTTACGACTTTGGAGAGGCTTCGCGTGAAAATTGCACAAGATAGTTCAAAGGACAAAAATCCTTCCTTCAGATGGAGAGATACAAGATGATGGAGTTTCCCTTTCGAAGAAATTCAGTTTGACAGGATGTTGGTGGTAGCGACTCAATGCCACGGCTGTTCTGGGGAAAATAGAGAGAGTTCTGGAGTTTCCGTTTGATAGAAATACTGTTGGGAAACTACATGATCTGCTTCAGTATCTGAGGAGTGGTGAATGATGCTGGACATTGTGCAATTATTGGCAAACATCCTACTTCTGACCTTACGACAGAGGGAAGGTCATCGATGAAGCAGCTGAATTAAATGTATTGGACAAACCTGCAGCATGAATAACTCAGCTGGTGTTCTGAACACTGAATTGAAAGGTGAAAGGGAGCTATTTTATTAAGTTGAAATGTTATTAAAATAAAATCGATATAGGTGAGATATAACAAAATAAGTTCAGATTATAATTAATAGAATGAATCTTTGACTGCCTCAGGACTCCTTTTGACAATTTCAGTTTTATTTTCAGAATTCTAAATTTTTTGCCATGCTAATTGAAACAAAAATTTAAATTCAGACAGAGCATTCAGGAGGCAGGAGGATGTGATTTTCCAACACGCTTGTTCTACCTGACAGTTTAACTCCAATTTGGCAATTCAACAAGGCAGCTCACCAGCAACTTTTTAAAGCAACTAGGGATGGTTAGTAATTGCTGCCCATGAGTAAATTAAAAAAAAACCCTATATGTCTCGGAGAGATAGATATACACAAGGCTAATATGTAAAATGTACATTCAGCTTTTCTTCTCCCAAGTGAACACTTTCTTCCTCAGATTTATAACAGCATATTATACAGCTTTTCAGATTTGACAAATTATAATGGTGCAAACTTAATTATTTTTGGAATTGATTTCAAATACACCTTATGCACATTAAACATTCCATTTACATGTAATTTCTTCAATGCAATCATGTAGCCATGGGATTTGTTATGGCTACTAACCCCTCGGTAATGGTAAACTTGCCACTCTTTTCGTTAGGGAGAGAAATGACTTGTGGTGAGTTTAATCTGAAGGTCAGCATGCCTCAAGTGAGGGGTAAGGTGGAGAAGGTGTGAGGGAATACTTGTGGGAGGGAAAGGGGGAGTGAGGTGATGGTAGAAATGAGTGGAAGGCATTTCTGAGGTAATCACATTCCTGAATCTGCATCAGTATCATTTTAGGAGCATCAAATCAGCCATGATCCTATTGAATAGTGGAACAAACTCGAAGGGCTGAATGGCCTCCTCTTTCAACAAATTTGGAAATATTACCATTTGCAACATCATCCAAATCATTATTAAGTTGTGTAGCGTTATGGGCCTGGTCCTTGTCACAGAGTCAGAGTAATCAAATCAGAGCCATTGAGTCATGCAGCACAGAAACAGGCCCTTCAGCCCACCCGTTTATGTTGACCAACAAACTGACCCCATTTTTCTGCACATGGTCTGTTGCTGACTAAGTCCTGGCATTTGAAGTACTTGTCCAGATGTTTCCTAAATGTAAGAGTACCTGCTTCCACCACCGTCTCAGCCAGCACGGTCCATATTTCTACCGTCCTTTGGATGAAAAATTGTTTCCTCACATCCCCTCTCAACCGCTTACTGCTCACCTTTAACTTATGCTGTCTGGTCTTCGACATGCCTGCCATGGGGAAAAGATTCTCACAATCTCCACTGTCTATGCCTCTCATACCTTTGCGGACCTCAATCAGATCCCCCCTCTGCTCCAGGGAAGGCAAACCCAATCTATCTCGTCTCTCCTCAGAACTCACACTTTCCAGCCCAAGCAACATCCTGGCGACTCTCCTCTGCACTCACTCTGTTTGTTATAATGTCCTTGCAATAGTGTGGTAACCTGAACTGCACACAGTATTCCATCTGTAGTCTAACCCATGTTTTATAAAGTTGCAACAGTCTCCCCTGCTCCTATGTTCTACAACCTGGCTAATGAAGCCAACCATCCTGCATGGCTTCTTCACCACAGTCTGCCTGTGCTGACATCTTCAGTGATCTCTAGACTCATGATGCTTCATGGTTGTGACACCACGTGAGGAGAGCTTGCCTCCTGATAATGATATATTCTTTTCTTATCTCTGCTTTCTCTATATGGAGCAATTTCCAAATCTTCCTATTCAATCCACCCTGTCCCACAGACTAAGTAATTTGTGATCATACTATTCAATATATCCAATCTCTTCCGCTGCAATTAAATTTGTTGGGATCCTGTGTGGGATTTTATGAAAAGCCTTCTGACAGGGTAGGTGATGGTCGAGTGGCATTATCACTGGACTATTAAACCAGAAACCCAGCTCATCTTCTCGGGACCCGGGTTTGAATCCCACCGTGGCAGGTGGTGGAATTTGAATTCAATAAAAAAAAGTCTGGAATTAAGAATCTATTGATGACCATGAAACCATTGTTGATTCTTGCAAAAACACATCTGGTTCACTAATCCCCTTCAGGGAAAGAAATCTGCCATCCTCACCTGGTCTGGCCGACATGTGACTCCAGACCTACAGCAATGCAGTTAACTCCCAGTTGCCCTCTGAAATGGCCTAGCAAGCCTTTCATTTGTACCAATCACTACAGAGTCTCAATGAAATAAAACCAGACGGATCATCTAGCATCAACCTCGGCACTGGA